TTTTGTTTGTTTGTTTGTTTTTGAGACGAAGCCTCAAGCTATCCCCCTGGGTAGAGTGCCATGGCATCACGCTCACAGCAACCTCCAACTCCTGGGCTCAAGCGAGTCTCCTGCCTCAGCCTCCCAAGTAGCTGGGACTACAGGCACCTGCCACAATGCCCAGCCATTTTTTGGTTGCAGCCATCATTGTTGTTTGGCGGGCCCGGGCTGGGGATTCGAACCCGCCACCTTAGGTGTATGTGGCTGGCGCCTTAGCCGCTTGAGCCACAGGCACTGAGCCGTAAACACACTTTTGAACAGGGCTGAGCTATCAGCAGTTCTGAATTGACTAAGATTTTTCACTCCTCCTCCCCAACTATGAGTCAGGGTTGGGCTTTCTCCTTCCGGTGAGCAGGAGATGTGGGTTTAATTAAGTGAGATTCTTGGTTGGGTTGCATGGTAGGTCAACATCTTCTTCCTCAACAGTGGGAGAGAGTCACTGACAAAAAGAAGCCACTGGGCCTAAGACTATGCAGTGGAGCTGTACAGGCACCTCCAGACCCAACACCCGCTGAGCTGTGACACTGACCTCCTCCCTTAAGCTGCTCCGTGCCTCCCTGTGGGAGGGTCCTGACCACCAGGGCTGCCACAGGGCTCTCCTCCTTTTTATTCCCCATCCCAGCTGGCTCCTCCTTCCTCCCTTCTCTGCTCCCCTTCAAGAACCTTCCACCCATCTGCTCCAGGTGCTGTCCAGTGCCTCTTCCCCTAGTTGGAGTTCACTGGAGATCCCCCGCAGTTGTCCTAGACACAGAGCAAAGCACCCTCACAGCAATAATCCTCTGACCTGTGCCCAGCCTCTCCCTCTGGGTTTTCCCCACCCTTAGGCCCTCAGAGGCCACAGGTCTGTCATTGGGTTTCTTCTCCCAGGTCCCAGCCTGATTCCTGGGCCGTCTGGCAGTGAGTGCAGACAACCCATCACTGTCTCCTTCCTGAACCACTCCAGTGTTTATCATCCTTTAATGCATTTACTAATGTGAGATGAAATCTACTTTCCTAGAAAATGTTCCACTTGATCATGAATTCTTTTTAAAAACAGGTGGCTGTTGTTGTGTGTTGTTATGCCATCGAGGATTTTTGTTTCTCTATTCAGGGGTGAGGACAGTGACTTTTCCTTTTCAAATTTGGTGACCTCTGTCAGGTTTTAGCATGGGTTTTGAAATTAAAGTGGAAGATTTTTGTCTCTTACGTCTCTTTGCTGTAGAACAGTGTTTAGCATGGGTTTTGAAATTAAAGTGGAAGATTTTTGTCTCTTACGTCTCTTTGCTGTAGAACAGTGTCTCTAGCCTGGTCATGCCCCACTCCCTTGAAGTGTTAAGTGTTATGGACCCCGAGTCCAGGTGGACCTTGCCCATTATAGGGTCTTCCCCTAGGTTATTGCTCTGTTCCTGCTGGCTGCATTGAGGGAGTTGGAGGATTGATATTGTTCTAGAAAACTCACCCCTTTCATAGAAGTTTCTACATTTATTAACTCAGGAAACTCCAACATTGTCATATTGAGCAGATGGCAGGGGGTAGTGGTGAGGGAAGCAGAGAGGTGCTGAGTGAAGGGGTGGACCTGAGGCCCAGAAGTGGGGGTCAAGGTTGGAGTGACACGGGGAGGAGAATAAAAGTGGCCACTGCAGTGGACAAGGGAACAGAATTCCCAGGGACACTCAGGTCTGGGCCTAGACAGCCTTGTGGGTGGTGGCAGCATCCTGACTAAGGAGAGTGTCAGAGAGGAAGGACAGGCCCTGGATGGAGGGGGGAGATGGGCCCCAAATGGACAGCTGCCTCCTGGGCCAGCAGGGCTGAGGCACAAGACTAGGGGTCCTTTTCCTTGGGGTTCAGTTGGCCCCTCCCAATCAGGCACCCTAGGGGAGCTCCTCACCCCCACCCCCGTCACCTTCATCTCCCAGTTCTACCCAGGCCACCCTCAAAAAGCCACTTCAGGAGATAGGAAGGGTGTTATAGGTGGATTCAGGACCCTTTGGGGGATAAAACCCCAGGTTCAAGCACCCAGAGTGTGGTCTGTGGAGGGAGGTGATGTGGAGAGGCTGGTGGGCAACACAGAGGAAAGGGCTGGTGTTGGGCCAAAGCAGGGCCCTTGAAGGCGTGGTCCCCAACCCTCTTGCTGGCTCTCAGGCCGCTATCAAAAGGGAAAAAGAAGTGTAGTCTGGCGCACAATAAACAAAGAAACGGACACAGGATAAGCCCTTAATTTTTTTTTTTTATTTTTTGCATTTCTGGGTTGCAAATAAACGGGAAAGCTAAAAAGAGCACTTGGACATTTCTCAAAATTTTGGGTTACAAAATTATTGTTACTCCTACTCCTCCTCTCATAATTTGGGACCGAATTAAAGATGTCTCAGAGCTGTCTTTGAGCTTCTCCGTTTGGTACGTAAACTACACACTACACCAAACACACACAAGGTGTGGATGGGCGGTCAAAGTCCCGACACTCTCAGCAGAATCTGGTAAACCATAGATATGGAATGGACCATTTCTGCATGACGTGAAGACCGTGGCGAGGCTGCTGACACTGCTCCAATTGCACTGGGGGTGCGTGTATGTGGGTCCTGTGAAATTTGGTGGGGTGGCCTCATAGTGTGCTGGCAATAATTTGTCCGTGGGAAGGTGAGATGGTGTCACTCTGAGAGGCGTATACTCAGAAATCTCTATGCCCACGGCATTTTACCTGCACTACACTCGGCTCCTTGGGGACACTTGCATGTCCCCTCCCCTCCAAACTGTCCCACTCATCCTGCACGCCCCACAGCTGCCCAGACACTGCCTAGCACACAGCAGGTGCTTGGAAATGCTTCCTGATTAGATGAAGGGGGATGAGGAACCAATGAATTGATGAGAAATCGGTCAAGGATGAACAGACATGAGCCCCTTTTCTTGTCATCAGGGGGCATGGCTGTTCTCTACAGCATGGAGATGGAGAAATGATAATTCGATGTTTTCGTGAATCTCCGAATTCTGCATTTGGGGGAACTGAGGAACAGAATCGTCAGCTGGCTCAGTCAAGGTCTCACGCTGAGAGAGAGACCAGGCAGGGAACCAGCCTCTGCCTGGCCATGCCAACAATTCTTTTTTTTTTGTCTTTTTTAAATTTTTTGTTTCTTCAGACAGACACAAAAATGAGATGAGATGATGACTTGAGTGACTTGGGGGCAAGGGTCAACAAGATTGGGGTGGGAGAGCAAGGGGCCTGGGGTTGGGAGGGGCTGGGGACAGCAGCAGGAGCTTGGGGTGGGAAGAGGCTTGGCAGTGATGGGGCTTGGCAGTGATGTGGGGGGAGTGTCAGGGTTTGGGGGGAGGGCAAACAGTGGGGAGAGGGTGGGAAGGCTGGGGGCAAATGGGGAAGGATCTAGGGGTGAGGCTGGGAGGGACTTGAGATGGTGGTGAAGGATTGAGGGATGCCAGTGAGTAGGGACTGAGGGGAGCAGGGGAAGGTAGAGGGCTTGGGGTAAGAGGAAAAGGACCAGGAGCAGTGGGACCAATGACTTGGGGTGGAGGGGTCTGGAGCCTGGGAGAGATATTGGTCAGGTTTGAATTGGGATGACAAGGAACTGGGGGTGGTGGCTGAGGGGTGATGATGTTGATGAGATGTGACGATATCATGTGACGACGATGACGCAGATGACCAATGGGCAGACTATGAAGTTGTGTATAGGGGGTGACTGATGTGAATGATTGTACACAATGAAGGTGATGATGACTGAGAAATAAATACTTGGAGCAAGGTAAACACGGCAGGTCATACTTAATAAAGCTAGGAGTATAGATTTCTATCCAAATAAGTTAAGCAGCAAAATATATCTAACTGGTACCCAAGGGCTGTTTAGCTGCCCAACCCTAAGAGCTGGAAAGCTAAACAGAGCTCTGTCCCATTTCTTTCTATTTTTGCAAAAAAAATAGATGCTCTTTGTTTTAAAAAAGTCAAATTCATAATTCACAAGCTGGCTAGGTCTTTTGGGATCTGAGGATTATTAACTCAGCAACACAAATGTAAATCCATGGCTGTGTAGGCCAGGTCTTATACTACTTTTGCCACAGAACTAATAAAACACCCCACAAGCAACAATTTCCACTAGACACTGTGAAAACCTTGGTGAGGGCTGTGTTGCTGCTCAGATTTTGCCAGGGGCACTTGCGGTTCAAGGTGCATTTAAATTTCAAGGATATCACTAATCTACAGGATAGAAGGCAGGTACAGTGTTGAGGCTTTGGGTGGGTAGGGGTAAGAGGTGGGGGTCTGGCTGCCGAAGTGGCAACTCCAAATGGCACATTATGACCAAAGGGGTCAAACGGGAGGTGGGCCAGGAGGCCCCCCCACTCTGAGAAATGCGGTTAGGATTAATTTCAACATCAAGTGTACATCCAGGATAGGCCAAAACCTTTGGGATCTCAGGATGAGACTCAGTCTTCATCAGATCCTCATTTTTAGAGTCAGGAAGTATTTTGGTTCATACTCCCTCGTTCCTAATTCAGAATTTTAGAGCCAGAGAGTACCTTGATGTTGATGTTCTAACCCCTCCTTTAAGAGGGGCAAGAAGGTGGGCCCGGAATTGGGATGGGGACTCGCCAAGGGTCACACAGCGAGTTAGTGGCAGAGCTAGGACAGGGTCCTGGCCCCCCAGAAGCCAATCCGGGACTCTCTCTGCCTGACACACAGCCGCTGCACTCTGCAAAATCTTAAATCAACCAGAAAGATCTAAAGGGTTGCAGTGTTGAACTTGATGAGTGCACGTTGGAAATGGCGTGTGAGAATTAACGAACGAAAGAGTTAGCCCTTTTCACAGTGGGTGGTCATGCACAGCACTCGTAACGGTTTCACGAGGACCCTGATGCCGAGACCCCTTGGAGAGGGACGTCGACACTGAGTCCTGGTTCTGTTACCTTGTTTTTTTTTTGTCTTTTTGATTTTGCCTTTTGATTAAGTTTTAAGTTTAGAATAAGATACTTATTTCCTTTACTTGTTTAAAGATGAAATTCTTATTATTTTTGATCATGCATTAATAGGGAGAGAGAGAGGGTCTTTTAAGCATTGTGTTCACACGGCAACACAAAGACAATATATGTAAGCATAGCGTTCACCAGATTTAACACGAGATATAGCGAACACTACTGCAAGGATTAGGACAGACCGCATATAGTGAGCTCTACGGGAACCGGAGAATATAGAGGGGCCTGTGGGAACACTGCTTAGATCTCCTCGCCACCAGCCTCCCTGTTGAAGGTGGTCATGTCGATCTTCTCCGGAAAAATGATGTTGACCGCCAGATCCTCCCCGCTGTGGTACTGCAGAAGCAGGTTCTTCTTCTTGCGCAGCATGTGGTTGTAGCGCAGGTTGGACACCCAGCTCTCGCACTTGTTGAGGAAGACGACTCCCATGGTGCCCAGCACCACCAGACTGGTCAGCACGCCCAGGATCGTGAAGCAGATAGCCTGACCCTCGGTGAGGAGAGGGGTGCTCTTGTTGAGTTTCTTCATTGACACCTTCAGGATGTGGTGCTCGGGCTGCGCCACTGGCAGCTCGTGCACCCCAGGGGTTACGCGGTAGGCTAGCCCGTAGCTGCTGGGCAGACGGGTGACCTGCTGGGGGCCCCGGGCACGCTTCTTGGCACAGGTGGGACCAGTAAACTCGGGCTTGCACAGACACTCGTAGCTCACCTGTGAGTGCTGCAGGCAGGTGCCTCCATTCAGGCATGGGGCGCTGGTGCAGCTGTTCACAGGGCGGCTGCAGGTCTTGTCGACGAAGCCAGCCGGGCAGCGGCAGCGGAAGTCGCCCCCGATGTCGGTGCAGACGCCATCGTTCTCGCACGGGTTCGGGTCGCAGTTGTCGCCCGCGATCTCGCAGAAATTGCCTGAGAAGCCAGGGGGGCACAGGCAGGAGACATGGGAGGCCCAACCCTCATCGTCCACACAGCTGCCTCCGTTCTGGCAGGGGGAACTGCAACACAACGGGAGACACGGTAAAGGGCCCTCGGGGGCTGGGCTAGGACAGTGCTGCAGGAATGGGGTGGGGGCAGACCCCCGGTCTCTCTCTCTGGACACCTTGCAAACTTCTACAGAAGGTCCCAGCCTGACAAAAGGACAGGTGCTCAAAATACATTAAGTGAGGGAGGGAAGGAGATAGGAAGGGAATGCCAGCCAGGGAGGCACAAGGAGGAGCCTGGGACCGTGTCCCCTGCCTGCAAGGGGCTCACCAGCTGTTGGAGAGGTGGTGCACACCTCACCCCATCACGATGCCAACCTGGAACACACATGACCTCCCAAGCCGGGAAGCCCATGTCCTCTCCCATCTCTTATTTCATCTCTCCGACCAGAGAACTGATGGTTAGTCACTAGACAGATAGGGAAACTGAGGCTGGGAGAGGAAAAGTTAGTGACAGCCAAGATCTAAAGCAAGCAAGCCCCCTTCTCTTTTTTCTGTCCCTTAGCAGCTATGGCAAAACCAAGCAAGTGTCATCACTCACTCTCCCAGGACCCTGCTGTCACCTACATCCACCACCACTACCCTTCATCATTATTTGTATTTTTATTTTCGATGGAGTGGGCCTATAACCTATTGTGCAGAAAACCCTTGGGGTCTCTCATAGTGAATCCAGCTGTTTAACAGAGTCCCCTTTCTGGGGTGCGTCTTGCAAGCCAAAGCTGTTTCCTCAAAGCTGAGCACAAGGAGCATTTAATGTAAGTGCTTTTAAATGAGCAAGCCCTTTGTCATCTGATAAATGCCAAAACTCCAGGGAAGAAGGGGGCTATAAACACAAGAAATAAGCATTGCTGCCTCAGGGTGCTGGGCTTGTGGAATTTCAAGGACCGTGGGCTCTATTCTGATAGACTGGTCTAAGTCTGGTTGAGAAAAAAGCCAAAAATTTTTTTTAATGTTGTTTTTTTCCTCCTTCTCGCTAATAAGCAGAAATGGAGTTCAGGTGTCACCCCCTCTCTTCTGACCCCCAGCTGAATACTAATCTTCAGAAGCCACATTAATGTCTGTTTACAGCTTGTGAAGACTCCGAGTTCTATATGCCACCCTGAAACTCCAGGTCAAGATATGCTTATTGTGCACGTTAGCTTCTATTTCCTTAGAGCTCAGGAGGGATACCCCTACCTCCCAACTACCACCCCCAGGCTCGGTTCAAGTCCTCTGTGCTGATCTCCCCTGCTCCAGTCTAAGCCCCACCCTAGGGAGAAAGTGACATGCCTGCTGTAGCCAAGGAGATAATGGGTGGGCCATGGTCAAGCTGCCCAGAAGCACCGCTCAGGGAGATTCAAGACAGGGCAGTGGCCTGTGTGTCTGCACAAACAAGTCTCAGAACCTCCTCCCCCCTGAGAACAGCTGAGACTTGGCCCACTCAGTCTTGTGTCCTGAAGCCCTCTACCCTCCTCAGCCTAGTAACTCCCTCCCCACACATCCCAGAAAACCCAACTGCAGAGCCCACTTGTTCCCCAAAACCACCCTCTAAAATATGATAAGTGGGTTTTACAAACAGCCTAGGCCCTGCTGAACTCTGATCTCTTATTATGTTGCCTTTAGAAAATTATGCGGTTCTGCGCAGCATTTAACTATCCCAATCGACCGTCATTCACACACATCAGGACTTGGGGACAGCAGGGGAATATGAAATAGCCTTCAGGATCATTTGAAAAAATTATGGAAATGACACATTCCCCTATAAATACCCCATCCAGGGAGACCCCCCATGGGGCTGCCGGGATGAGCACTTACTTCCATCTTTTGTCAGGCACGGGTCCAACAGGGTTAGGCTGAAAGGGTCTTTAGGGGGTGAAAAGCAAGAAGTAAAAGCAGCATTCATTAGATCACACAGCCAGGAAGAATATTTACCCATTGTTCGCACAGGGCCCTTCCTTCTTCAGACAGTTCCTTCCTGTGTACCCAGGGATACAGGAGCATTTATATTGGCCATTTTCAAGGTTCACGCAGCTCCCATTGTTGGCACAGGGGGTCGAAGTGCAAGCCCGGACATCTGTGGGGGAGGGGGTTGTGGAGGAGACCAGACCTTAGCATGCCCTCCTAACACAAGTGACAGGCACAGGTAAGCCCCCCTTGGAGTAAATTGAGACTCAGGAAGCTGAAGGGGTTTCCTTCTGTAAGGTCATGAGCCAGAGAGTCGTAGTTGCTGATATTCAAGCCAGAACTGCTGTGCCCTTTTCCTGGTACCAGGTCACCCCACATCCAGCAACATGTCCCTCACCTACAATAGGTGCCATGCCCCTCCCTCCAAGAATACCCAACGACTGTCTCCTGCGGACAAGATTTCACGTCCAGCTTCTCGCATTTGGGGACTAGGACAGCCCAAACCTTGGAAAAACCACCAGCTCTTCCTACTATTCCATCAAAGAGAGGCTGGGAGGGGTAGAGATGAAGATGTAAAGACCCCCGTTGGGAACCAAGAAATCTGGTTTAGCCTCAGCACTCCCTCCTCCTCCCTGTGGTCTTTCCGTTCTGCTCTGAGGTTCTGAACTAAAGGGGTCCATGATAAAAAGGCTGCATCTTTTGAAGGCAGTGAAATTAGAACTATTGAGCGCTCTCCTGACAGCACGGGTTTCCATGAACACTGGTATATTTCCACTGCCTTTAACACCTCCTGTCATGCACACTTCATTATTTGGGCTCAGCAGGCCATGGACGTGCTGAACACAGGGGCCTGGGGCAGGGGATCTCTGATGGTGGAGACCCCAGTTTCTCAGCAGGGCCAGGAGGGGCCCTTTTTCTTGCATTGTATCCAACCTGCTGCCATGTGGCAACAGAGGCCAGCTCCTCGCCACTCTGTGCCTCAGTTTCCCTACTTATAAAAGGAGGGGCTCTCTCTGGCTGATCTCTAAGAGATCTGTCAGCTTTGGTTTTCTATAATTTGAGCTGCTGCACCTGCCAAGTAGAGAGCCAGGGCCAGCCAGAGACAAAGCAAGTCAAGGCAGGCTGGGGAGAGGGGTCCCAGTGAGAGTATGTGTGTATTTTCTCCCTGTTTTAAAGAGACCCGCTCCCTCGTGAAGGGGAGATGGCAATCAATCAAGAAGGAAAAGCCCAAAGCCATGTTGATGGACTATCCTGTGGCGTTCTGTGGAAACCTGGCTTGGCGCAAGGGAACATAAAGAGGATTTATCTTTACGGGACGGCACCAGCAAAGCATCAGCACACGGCGCCTCCGCAGCGGGCTCCTAATTCTCTGCTGCTGGCTCTCCTGTCACTCAAAATCTTACATTTAAGCTAAAGAGCTGCGACCACCCCAGCCCATCCGTGCTGCTCTCCCCACAACACGAAGCCTTGCAAGCCAAGGGTCAGCCCTCCTGGGCCTCCAACCCCCAAAGGAGGGGTGGATTAAGCTGCACCAAGGAGCAGGCTGCTGGTTGGAGGAGGGGGGCTCTGCTGGGACAGCAGCTGGGGCAGAGACAGACAGCCCCAAAGATGGGTAAAAAAGGAGAGGAAAGGCTGTTCCTCTCTGGGATCCCAGACTCTCCAGCCGTGCCTAAGCAGACTGCCCTCATCAACCTAGCAGGGAGGGACGGTACCAAGGGCCCACCAGTGGGGGAGGCTTTTTGTCAGAAACTCCAGCAGGATGTGCTGTGTTTAGATACCAAAGAGGGTGGGCTCCAGGGTAAAAGCCCTAACCCTGATCCCAAATGGTGTCTTTGCTGAGATCTCCTGGCTCCACAAACAGCTCAGAGCCACTGCGGCTATCACTGAGAGGGGCGTCAGAGCTGCTGGCCACAGCATGAGTCAGCTGCGGGTGTGGGGGGGGGCACTTTGCACCATATTTGTGGGGGGGTATAAGCACCAGAGATAATTCGGGGTGGGAGGAGCTCTACTCTGAAAGTCCAGCTGCCTTGGCTATACCAGGCAAGGGGCATAACAATATGCTTTTATGTTTTCCTTAAGGGAGGGTGTTAAAAGCAGTCGCAGATGAAAATTAATCCCATTTCTGGGGCCAGAGGATGGGTTTTTCTCCTGACTGCCTATGTACGCATCCCTTAGCAGACCTTTTTGTGTCTCTGATCCTCAGTTTCCCTATTTATACCATGCATCCTGCTAATGTCAGGTACTGAAGAACAGCCTACACTGAGTTGCCCAGACCTTAGGGCAGGTTTTCTCAAATGAGAATGGGTTCAAACGAACATTTTGCAGCCTGAAAATGCAGCGACAGCCAACTCTCAATTGTTCAGGGTAATGAAGACAAAGATTGCATAAATTAATGAAATCAACAGATAACACCAATCTCCACTTTAACCCCTTCCCAGCTTTTTCCAACCCCCATCCTCCCCCTGCACCTGACAGTGCCAGCCCCATCCTCCTGACCCTGACTCAGCTCCTGCTCTCCCCACCACTGAACACTGCTCACCCCCTCCTCCATTTGTTTGTTCACAGCCTCCTAATAGTGTGTGTGGTTTTCTTCGAGTCTTAGCTCTGAGACCCTTGAGTTCTTCCCCATCTCTGAGCTTCAGTGACCTGGAGACGCTGCCTGGGGTCTGTGGTCCCAGCCGCTCAGCTGTGTTCATGTGTGTGTGTGTCTGTGTGTTTATTTTTGTGACTCTTTATTCAACAAGCGGCCTCTCCAAGCCCGACCCCAGTGCTTTCTCAGGGTGCTGAGTGCTGGTGGTGCAGGGGTGAGCAAAATTAAGTTCCTACCTTAGAGTAGGCATTTGGCACCAGCAGGAGATGTATAAACAGATCATTGCAATACAGTCCTATGCTGGTGTGTTAGAAAAGGGGGTTGGGGGGACAGCAACCACCAGATCAGGGACTAGAGCAGAAAGGCAGGGATGTGGGGCCAGGGCGTGCTGCAAGCAAAGGTGAGTGCCAACCTATTTCGCAGAGTTTCCCTTCCCAGCCATCGTTGCAAATGCACTGCCAGGCTTCTTCACAGTATCCGTTATAGCAGCCAGGTGCGGTCATACATTGGTCACACAGGGGACCCTGCCAGCCAGGCTGGCACCTGTGGGGTGGGGTGAAGAAATATGGGGGCATATGAGGGGGCAGCAAGGGTGAAGAGGGAGCTCAGGATGCGTTCTGTGAACTGAGAGCCCTTGGGGGTCTTTGTATAGTGCCAGGCCAGTGGTCCCAGGAAGCAAATACCAGTTACCTGAATGAAAAAACTTAAAGACAGAACATTCTGAGGGGCAGACACAGAAAACCCCCCCTCCCGCACCCCCCCCCATCCGCTGAGAGCCTGGCAGAGTGCTGCGTTTTGCCGCAGTGCCCTGCAGTGGTCTCGCCCTGCAAGGGGCTTTCCTACCACCCCACTTTTGAGGAAGCAGACAGGCACTGTGGCTGCCCCCCACCCTTGTTCCCCTCTCTCTTCTCCCCCCACCCCACCTACAACCCCCACCAGTTTTCTGCAGGGCCAAGGAAGCTATGTGACGCAGTAGCTAAACTCCCTCCTTTTTTCTGCCTGACTTCATGACTCCCCAGGATTCTGGCCCCCACTAACTACCTCTGCAGAGTCACTGTTACCTGCAAACATTGTCATCCTCACAGAATCCATTTTGGGGGTCACAGGGCGGGAAGCATTCAGCTCCTGAGGCACAAGAAAGGTTACAAAATTCACCCCACAAGGCCCCAGAGACCAAGGAGAAGTCCATCTTCTCCCTAATAGCCACCTGCTTCCCTCAAGGGAGGCAACAACCCTTTTGGGTCCTACCAGCCTGGCACACAGTAGGCACTTCGTATCTCTGCGTGGATGTGGCTCATTCTACCACACTACGCAGGAAAAAATTCTCTGCCACATTCCTGGCTATGGGATGACGACACTACACTCCCTAGTTCTTAGGAACAAAACAGACACCTTTTTCCCCCAAAGAAAATATGAAACCTCAAATCCTCCTAAAAGCAGGAATGGGAGACAGTACAGGGCAAGATGCTGACCCCAGGGCACTTCAGCCAAACCCTCACTTTCACAAAGTGAGCTGAAAGGGGAACAAATTTTTGACATGTTCACCTCTGGGAAAGCCCAGACAGATTCACCTGATGGGCTCACAGGTAAGGCATCTAGATTTTTTTTTTAAGTTCACTGCAGTTAAGCCAAGTGCAGGGGTCAAATTCCACCCCCCCAACCCAGACTCTTCATGTTAAAAAGATGACGACGACAACAATGATGACTAGACGCAAGGGTTTGCAGGGTAGACTGAGGCTCCAACACTGTTCAGAGATTCTAACACTTTAATAGGCACCTACTGTGTACATTTCCTCAGCTCCCCAGCCTTCCAGATAGCCCCCCACCAAAAAAAACCCCACTGGTGCAGTGGGGGGGGGGGCGCTGCGGGAAGGGGGTAACTCTCTCGCTGTCAGAGACAGATGGCCACTGCAGACAGAAGTGTCGCAGCCCCTCACCTACAGAAACGCACCACGCAGGAGGGCTCAGGATGGGCTCCTGCTGGGAATTAAGGACTGCGACGGCAAAGTCTGTCCCCGCTGCCCCCAGAGACGTGTTCCCACACTCACACAGAGACACCCCAAAGTTGCACCCCAGAGCATTTTTACAGATGTCCAGCATCACCTCGTTTTTCCATACCTCCTCTTTCAGCAGACCGACACCCCCTTCGAACGCCACTTCTGCGAGGCGGGAAGGGCCTGGGGGTCCCACACCTCCCCTGGTGCCCTAGACCCCCGGGCTGGGCTTGGCATGCAAGGGTGGCGGGGCGGGCGAAACAGGCACCGCGCGCTGGGTTCAGGATTAGGCGGGACGGGCGGGAGTTGGGGCGTGAGGGACGGGGCGTGCAGGGCACGGGGCAGCCGGCGGGGCATCGCAGGCTTCCCCAGAGGGGGCGCGAGCCGTACCGCCGGGGGGCTCACCATGGGTGCTGTGGCCGAAAGCCAGCAGGAGCAAGAGGACGGGCAGGAGGGCTTCGGTCGCGGTCATCGCGGGGCGGCCGGGGTCGCGGTCCCGGGAGCGGCACGGGTGCAGGTCCGGCTCCGGGCGCCGCGCTGGGCTTCTGGTTGCGGACACGGAAGGGGGCGCGGGTGCGCGGTGAGGGGAAAGCCAGGGCTGCGCTGCGCTCTCCACTGCC